AGTGTGTGTTTGTGTGTGTGTGTGTGTGTGTGTGTGTGTGTGTGTGTGTGTGTGTGTGATGCCTCTGCTCCCTCCTCCCCTCCTGCTCCTGCCCCACAATCAAATGTGTGTGCTGCCCTCATACACACCCAGAGATGAGCTTCCGGGCCCAGCTCCTGCCTGGCCCTGTGGCTGCTGCTTAGGGTGGGAGGGTGACATGTGCAGCACTAGCAGGCAGGGCCTCCATGAGGCAGGAGGTGCCTCCATGGCCATTGCTCCTCCTGGCTCCCCTGATCCCAGGGACCCAGCCCCTGTCCTCAGACCCCTTTGGAAGGTTTTGTCCAATAGTCGTCAGCACACTGAGGTCTTGACAAGTCAAAGACTGTGTGTGAATCATCTCTCTGCAAACTTTTGGGGCCAATTAGCCTAGAACTCCAGAGCCGCCCCTCTGCTGGCTGTGCGCACAGTGGGGCCTGTGCACAGGCTTTGGCAGATTCAGCTTCTCTGCTGGGCTGGGTGGCCCAGAGGGGCCCATCCACCTACCGTTTCCGACTGTCCGTAGACCTGGTGGATCAGAAGGCCGGTCCTTTGTCTCCACTTCTCTTGCTCTTCGGGCAGCACGGCCTCCCCGCCAGCAGCGCAATGCTCCAGAGTGGGGAACCTGAGGCTTGGGGGAGACAGAGCTTCAGGGCAGACATCTGCCTCTCTCCCCTCCCTCTCCCCCCCCTCCCCCACACCTCTCCTGGGACAGAGTCAGGAGTAGTGGACAAGGGGCTGGTTTCATTAGGGGTGTCTTCCTCACTCATTTGGAGCTTTCGCCAAAATAGGTAAAATTAGCAGAGGCTCCAGTGGAGTCATTAGTGATGCCCTGATTGGATTTTTACTGGGTTTGGACCAAGTTCATCATCTGAGGAATGTTGCAAAGAGTGGCTGTCATATGAGCTTTGAAATACAGATTGAGGCAGACTCCAAGGGCATGCTGTGATGGAGGCTAAGTGAATAAAAGCAAGTTGTATTTCAGAGTTAGCTTCATAAGGGGACTTGTTCAACTCCTTGACATTTTAACTCTGTGCCTACAAGTTATTAGGTCTGATTTTTGAAGCAGCCATGTCCATTTTAGAGTCTCTAAAATATACATAAGTGCCCATTAGGTTCAAAGAAAAGATTAGCTCAAAATTAATCTACAAACACAGGGCAATACAAAAATAATACTATAGCAAAATGACACTACCTGCATCAGATTGGTAAAAATTAAAGACTCTGACAAGAACAAATGTTGTCAAAAATGTAGAACAAGGGAATCCTGCCTCCCTGCTAGTGGGCGCACACGCGATTCGATACTTTGGAAAATAGGTGGTAGGATGTGGTGTCAGAGTGACTCAGCAATTTCTCCTAGAAAGACCCCACACAAATGAGTGCTGATGTGCACAGGGTGAATGTGCAAGAACAGTGTTAGTCATCAGCAGCCCTCGAATGAAAACCACCCAGATGTCCATTAGTGGTAGAACAGAATGAAGAAAATATGGACTTTTTATAAAATGAGATACTATATAGCAATAAAAGTTAGCTACGGCAATATGATGCAACATGGGCACATCTTAGAAATATAATTTGTAAAAAGAAGCCAGACATTACAGAATAATATGATTACAAAGCTCACAAGCAAGTAAAAGAGACTAATATTTCTTTAGGAGGTAAACTACAAGTGGTGGAGAGAGTGGGAGAAAAACACACACAAATGAGTGAACACCATAAAAGTCAAGATAGTGAGTTCCTGTAGGGAGTTGGAGGGGTCTGAGTAGGTCACTGGGGACTGGTGATGTTCTCTTATTGTGATTTGAATGAGTGGTTACATATTGGTATAATTTTCAACAATTTCTTAATCTACAAATTTTTGTCTTTTGTATTTTTCTGTGTGTTTGTTATTTCACAATAAAAAAGGTTAAAAGAGGAAAAAAGGCCACAATGATGCAAGGCTCACTGTTTCATTTGGATCTGAGTCCTGCTTAATTAACTAATTAGACAGGCTGATATTATCGCTACCAGCATTATACACACACACACACACACACACACACACACACACACAAACCCCACACATTAGCTCTCATTGTCCTCAAAGAACCAGAGTTAACACAGTCAGACTGTTACCATCCTTGGCTGGTGATTGAAAGAAACAGCCAGGGGAGAGGCTGACAACGTGGAGCACAGGCAGCTGGGAAGCAGAGGCCTGTTTGCTTCACCAGGAAGCTCCAGTTTCACCCAAAAAATGGCAGCACAGTCCCCCAAGGGGATTGACACCCTCCCTCCCCCCTCTGGGTTGGGATTGTGTGTGGGAGGGGGGTGGGGGAGATCAGGAACTGCCCAGTAAAGTCAAAATGGCGCAGGGGGAGGTGTGGGACCACAGAGGCTGTCAGTCTAACCTGGGAAAGATCATTGGCTAGGGGTGCACCCAGTGCATGCCCCTGGAATCTTGGGAAGTTAGTGGATTGTTTTGAAAAAGCTCCTGGTTGAATCCAGGGGGGCGGGGGAGGGGGAGGTAATGCTGGCTCTCTCTCTTGCCTGGGATCCCAGTGGCCCAATTTGTTCCTGTCCTCTCCCGCCCAGGAGCAAAGGACCATGCAGGTCTGGGGGCCGCCTGGACCGGGGGAGACATCCAGGCCAAAGGATCATGAAGCAGAAACTCCGGGCATTGGCCTTTGCGTTGGCTGTTGAAGAGGAGACTGGACTTTTTCCAGGGCAGGGCCCCGAGAGATGGGGCATTGGGAAGCCGGGAGGAGACCTCTATTGATGTTACCTAACAAATAAACCACATCGCCACATCGCAGTCTCCTGGGTGTGGATCCTTGGGATTCTTTCCTCCCAACCCCATGGAAGAGCCTGTTCCCCACCGACAAGACCGCAGTGAAATAGACTCCGTAAAATCCTACCCAAAGATTGTGAACACAAGCCACGTCTACATACCTGCCAAAATTCTCCTGCAGAATCATTCGATATACAGAGGGCGCAGTAATGTACTGGGTGATGGGGTATTTAAAGAGTGTCTACAAAGCGAGCAGAGAGAAATCTTATTTATATGGTTAAGATGAAAAATGCTGGCCAATTATTACCATTCTTTTGTTGTTGGTGGTGGTAACTCTATGTTTTACATTATTACCCTTTTAATTCTGATCTCCCTTCTAGGACAGCACATTTATTCATGATGTGCTCATGACAATAACAGCAACTCTTACCAGTTCTTGAGTGCTTTCAGGTGCAGGCCTCAGGGCTAAGCACTTTACACACTTTGCCTGTATCATCTCAATATTCCCAACAATTTTACGAGGTAGTAATTATTAAAACTCCCATCGTACAGGTGAGGAGACTGAGCCAAGAGAGGTAAGGTTACCACTAATAAATGTTGAAGGTGTGAAAAGGAGCTAGAACCATCCTATTCCAAGGGCTCTGGTTTTAAACACTTCAATAAATTCACACGCACACACCAGCTACCTGGCCGTGGAGGAGCCAGGAGACCTGAAATTGTTCTGGTTGCTTTAATTTCTCAAAATGTGTATTCTGGGAGACTCACCCACTGACTCAGCGCCTCACATTTGAGACCCCCAGAGCCCAGGTTCTATCACCCCAATGGGCTTCTTTGTTACGGACACTCTTCTCGGCACGGCCAGCTTTTGAGCCTGAAACACGGGTTTCTCCGGGAGTTTGTTCACACTGAGAGATTAGTCCTCTTACCTCCACAATGACCTTAGGGTCAAACTGGGGCAGATGGTGGATGAAGACTGTAGACCCTGCTGTCCATGGTTCAAACAGGGTACCCATGATAGCCACAATCCAGCCTGGGTCTGACAGGCACCACAGGACATCAGAGGCCTTCAGCTGCAGTA